TCATACCCCTGCTGTTTTGGAAGCACGATATGGGCCTGCACGATATTAGGCAGGTGGTTTTAATGCTGTGGCTGATTACAGTATATGTAAAAGGGTGATTAGAGTGTTTACATATAAAGAAATCACTATTTAATGTTTCTTTATAAAAAATTAACTCCCCTTATTCCCCAAACTTCCCTGACCCAGAGAATGCTTCACAGTGACCGTCATTTCTCCTGCTTTATAAAACTTTCATCCCTCTCCCCCGACTTGATCAATCATCTATTTATTAAATCTGGCACCTGATGTTGGATTTAATTTCTCGCATTGTCCACAGAGACGATAATATAAAACATCTATATTGAAATGTTCCAGATCTCCTCTTACCGTAGTCAGATTTAGGAATTATTTGTGTCTTTTCTATAGAGGTAGAACAGTTAGCATTCAGCCGCAAGCTTTAAATCGCCTCTAACGAGTCTGTGACAATTATGTCATGTTAACTAAGTATCCAGGTAAAATGCAGCTTACTGACACCTACAAAAACAACTTCCCCGCTTTTAGCAAATACGCTTTACGGGCTCCGTGTAATAGCTTTTGTTTATAAGACAGGCTGTCAATCCTGGCAGGCAGAGACGTGTAGCTATTTCGGTTGCGATCACTGTTTGCACAGAAACCTTTAGACATTACTACAGTTAGATTGGTAGGCCTCCACAGACTCCGGGGCCACACAGGAGCTCAGTGCAGTGTTAGTCAGTATTCTAAGTTAATACATTGACTCAGCTCAATGTGATCTATGAAGGCGAATAAGGTTAAAAGAGCTTTCTAAGGTAAAAATAAATATAATTAATGTGTTCTTACTGTGTTTAGATTATTGGGATTCCCAATTGAATTGATTTTGGTGAGCAAAGTGTCCCTTTAATAAAATCATTCCAAATATATATTAATTATCTATTACCAGGAAATTAAAAGAAAATGTCAGTATTAAAGGGACAATCCACTTCCCAAATCAAAGTCAATGCTTAGTAGACATGTCCCAATGAAAAAAAAATGCATGCATTTAATTATGTATTTTGTCTGCAGCCTTTGCAAGTCCTCCCCTTCTAACCCCGCCCAGACTCTCTGTGGCTGTCCAATTCAGCTCAATGAGAAGTCTTTGCAAGGCAGGTGCTCTGGGCAATTGCTGACTCCTGAGTTTATCTCAACTGAGCTAAACAAACCAGGAAGTAACAGGATAACTTGTCTGACTGACAGCCAGGGGGGTGTAGCAAGGTTACTTTATAAAAGCACCACTTTCTATCAAAATCTGCGGACATACTCTGCAGACATAAAGCTTTTTAGAAAACTAAAGTGGTTTAGGAATCTGGAGTTTCACTTTACAAGAGCGGGATTACTGCTAAAATCGTTAGCCAATCAGTTTTAGGGTGCATGAGGACAGCAAACAATTCAATACTTTTTTATGAGGTGCTAAGTGAATACAGGGATCAGGCTTTTACCTGTTCTTTCTGATGGTAAAAGTGTTTGTAGTGTGACTTTTCCTGAGGCATGGCAGCCAAATTAATTTATTATTTAACTGAAAATAAAAAGATACAATTATTTATATATCCCCTGCATTTTTAATGACTGCAATAGTTTTTTTTTGGGACTGCCTTATCCCTCGAGTGTTGCCCTTTATTACATTTAATTAGTGTCCCTGCTTGTAATTAGTTTTTTGTTTTATTATACAAGCAGATCATGATCAGAATGGCAGTGGGAGAATCAAAGTGGATCTTTCATCATCCGAGGTCTTTACATAATTTGCAAATAATCCCGATGGTGACATAGCCGCTGGGGGTCCGATGGCCGTGGGTGCAGGGAAAGGTGAGATTTACTTACCTGCATCTGTCACTTGCCGCCATCATCTTCCATCTGCTCCTCACGCTCCATCTGCCAGGAGAGGACAGGCATCAGTGTTGTAGTCTCGCACATGTACAGTGTTAGGGTCTATCGGGTATCCTGCAGCCCCACGGGATCTTCAAAAGAAAGAGATAATTTCCCTTCAGCAATCACTGGTGATGACTGAGTGACTGACATGGCTTAATGGCGCTAACACCGCCCAGTGTCAAGTGGTGTCAGGCGGAAGAAAAATACTGAGACAAAGTAAGCCCTACTTCATCTCTGTATATCTTCATACAGGATTGGAATGCTAGTGAAATTCCAACATTGAAATAATAGTGAAATACTATTATTTTGGGGGGAGAGGGTGACAGTGTTGCTTTAATCATGCAAACAGAGGTCCACCCTGTCCTTCCTCTGTCCTGTGTTATGAGGGGTGTGACGAGAGCAATCTCGCCACATTGCATTGGAGAAGCCTGGTTGCTCGCCTGCTGCCTTTGGACTATGGCCCCATGTTAAAAGACATCTTTTTTACCTGCAGAAAAAATGTATTCATTCTTTTCTGCCTGGTGTTCGGTTTAATCTACCGAACATCCGCACGAATGACTGGACCACCTGGAAGCTGGAGTGTGCCGGCAATTAGCCTCCCTGAAGCTGCGGTTAACCGCAGCTTAATTGACGAATGCTGGGTGGCCGCCATTCGTATCACGAACACGAGGTCGCGGCCATTTTAAACATGCGACTGCACCGCGGTGTTAAACGCTTAATTCATGGAACTGAAATCGGACACAGTTTTGCGCGAACACCGCTGAAGCCGCCGACCTCCCTTCTTGTTCGGTGAAAGTGCACGAACGGCCCGGTGTTCGGTAGTTTTGCTTGAATGTGTTATACCCCAGATAGGAATCCCATGGAGCTCATTCGTATAAAACTGACTGTGTAAAGACTTTAGCTCCATGGCGATTAAACTGTATTCGTGTGGTCTGAGCGCCATTCGCTTAATAATGTGCGCTCAGACCCGAGCTATCTGGGGATATGTTAAATGTATGCTTTTAATGTTATGTGTCTCACATAGTGTATTTTAATAGTAATTCGTGTGTTAGTATCCCCACGTGCATAATGGCAATTTGCCTTTGTGTTGGGAGATAATTGAATTACTTCTCAATTATCTCCAAGGCAGAGGGGAGGAAGCCAGGATGCATTGTGGGAATATAATGTGACTGTGTGTCCTATTTGTCTGCTTGTCTGTCCCTTGTCACAGTCTCCCATTTGGTCCCCTAGGGGAGTGTCCACCAGGTGGGAGACCTGCATAAAAGCCGGGCAGGTAGCCTTCATTAAACAGACCACTGCTTGACCCTCAACACGGAGCCTTGTCTCGTCTCTGGGGGGATTTACTGAATGCTGATAGAGACTGATTGCTAGGAGTGTAAGCCGCTTGGATGCTTTTCCTATTCGTCTGCTAGCAGCGATTCGTATGGTTCCAGTTCGTGTGTTTGGAGTGCTATATTGTATGCCGTTCGGGAGTTTGGAGCATTCCCTTATTGGCGGTTCGTGAGTTTGGTGTTTTACAATAGCTGTACCTGCATCTCTGGAAAGGGTGGACAATCGCCTAAACGGTTTTTACCCCTTATGTGCAAAACGGTCCGTTACAAGGCGATTCTGGAATAATGTCTTTATTGTCCATATAAAGAAAGCAGAACAGTCGTCAATGCAGAACTGTCGCCTTTGGAAATACCAACCTTCCCCTGAGGGTTTTAAATCTTTTTATAATCTTTTCATATGTAATGCAAAAAATGTTTTATACGATACGCTGCTTTCAAGGGATTTTAACATTTAGCAGGGTTATTTACTAACATGGGAATTGTTAGGAATTCAAAGTGATTTAAAAGTAAATTTCAAATTTAAGGCCAAGACAGTCCGCTATGCTTCCAGTTCAGGTAAGCTGGTCATAAATTTGAAATTCACCTGCAAATCTCATTCCCAGCAATTCTCATTTTGGTGAATAAATGTACGAATTGGCTTGTGGTGTCAGAATCTGTTGTTTTCAAGGCAGAATCTGTTGTTTTCCAGGGCACAGAATTTAAATTGCTCTCTCTCCTATCGACATCAAATTCGTAAACCTCCCTAGATACTTCATCATCATCCCAACTCTCCAGCTTGTTGCCAGTGCCTCTCATTCACACCCCCCCAACACCCGAAAGGAAACTCTTCCTCAAAGCATGGATACATTCTGCCATTAGATGTAGCTCCTTCCGAGCCTCGAGAGTAGAAACTACTCTTCAAACATTCTTCCAGTATTATCCTGCATATACATTATACGTCTATCATTCTGTCTTTTCTGACTGTAGATTAATACATGGGGGAGCTGTTATCTGGCAGATTGTTGCAAGGAGGAATAAAGAAAAATGGTGGATGTGTAGTTTATATTATCTCCAAACCACATCCAGGTGGAGTGGGCTTCAATGGCCCTAGATCCACGAAAGAGGATCATATGAGCGAGTTAGCGAGCAGTTTAATTCAATGCAACTACATGTTACAACTACATGTCTGTTCGTCCACCCATTGTAAAGCGCTGCAGAATTTTATGGCGCTATATAAATAACATCATCATAATAATAATAATAATAATGCAAAAAACATGGCGGCGCACATCATTCAAATAAAAGCCAGGAAACAGTTTCTTATTGATACACTTTTTCTTTAATGCTTCAGACGTGCAAAATCATACATGTAGCGCAGGGAAATAACAGAAACAACTGTGTAATTTGCAGGCATGTTCCGGTTCCACTTTAACCATGTGACTAAAAAGGGGAACATTTGGGACAAAAATAACGATTTTTATATTAAGTTTTGCTACCATTTTGCTTATGTTTTATTTTCCACCAATTTATAATTATTATAAAAATGTGACACCTCATTACCTTGTTCGTTACCCTAAATGCAATAATTAGCTATTAATATGAGGTTTATGAGTGGGTGGGGCCAACTGCTGGAAAATATCATATCTTTAGGCAAAAACTGATGATGCATGTTTATATTTTTAGAAACAGTTTGTGATTTATAGCTAGGAGCTCAGACTGCATGTTATTGTCTGTCTGGTACTAATAGAACGTAAGCAAGACACAAATTCTCAGATTCTAATAGTGCGGAATCTAACACTGCACGTCCTGCATGCCTGGCTGCTGTATATAACACCGCACGTCCTGCATGCCTGGCTGCTGTATATAACACCGGACGTCCTGCATGCTTGGCTGCTGTATATAACACTGCACGTTCTGCATGCTTGGCTGCTGTATATAACACTGCACATCCTGCATGCCTGGCTGCTGAATGTAACACCGCACGTCCTGCATGCTTGGCTGCTGTATATAACACTGCACGTCCTGCATGCTTGGCTGCTGAATGTAACACTGCATGTCCTGCATGCCTGGCTGCTGTATATAACACCGCACATCCTGCATGCCTGGCTGCTGTATATAACACTGCACATCCTGCATGCTTGGCTGCTGAATGTAACACTGCACATCCTGCATGCCTGGCTGCTGTATATAACACCGCACGTCCTGCATGCCTGGCTGCTGTATATAACACCGCACGTCCTGCATGCTTGGCTGCTGAATGTTACACTGCACGTCCTGCATGCTTGGCTGCTGAATGTAACACGGCACGTCCTGCATGCTTGGCTGCTGTATATAACACCGCACATCCTGCATGCTTGGCTGCTGTATATAACACTGCACGTCCTGCATGCTTGGCTGCTGTATATAACACTGCACGTCCTGCATGCTTGGCTGCTGAATGTAACACTGCATGTCCTGCATGCCTGGCTGCTGTATATAACACCGCACATCCTGCATGCCTGGCTGCTGTATATAACACTGCACATCCTGCATGCTTGGCTGCTGAATGTAACACTGCACGTCCTGCATGCCTGGCTGCTGTATATAACACCGCACATCCTGCATGCTTGGCTGCTGTATATAACACTGCACGTCCTGCATGCTTGGCTGCTGTATATAACACTGCACGTCCTGCATGCTTGGCTGCTGAATGTAACACTGCATGTCCTGCATGCCTGGCTGCTGTATATAACACCGCACATCCTGCATGCCTGGCTGCTGTATATAACACTGCACATCCTGCATGCTTGGCTGCTGAATGTAACACTGCACATCCTGCATGCCTGGCTGCTGTATATAACACCGCACGTCCTGCATGCCTGGCTGCTGTATATAACACCGCACGTCCTGCATGCTTGGCTGCTGAATGTTACACTGCACGTCCTGCATGCTTGGCTGCTGAATGTAACACGGCACGTCCTGCATGCTTGGCTGCTGTATATAACACCGCACATCCTGCATGCTTGGCTGCTGTATATAACACTGCACGTCCTGCATGCTTGGCTGCTGTATATAACACTGCACGTCCTGCATGCTTGGCTGCTGAATGTAACACCGCATGTCCTGCATGCCTGGCTGCTGTATATAACACCGCACGTCCTGCACACGAGGTTGCTTTTACGATAGATTAAGATTCTTCTGATATTTTTGTTTGCTTTTAGAAGACGTCGAACCTCTGGATAACACCTGACTAATTAAACTAACACATGCCACCACAAATATTAAGTTCTGGATTAGAAATTATTCCAATGGACAACAGGAAAAATAATTAAAATTATTTGATGTTATCTAAGTATTTTTAATGCAGGAAGAGTCATTACAACATCGACCTATTCTTCATCCACATTTGTAGCTGGACATGTCCAAGATTATATTTTTATTTGTAAACCAATAAATGTGTGTGAATATTAGATTTTTGTACTGATTTGGCCATAACCTATACTGTACTAGCCGTACTATATCGTATCCTATACTGTACTAGCCGTACTATATCGTAACCTATACTGTACTAGCCATATCATACTGAACTGGCTATAAACATATCACATTGGCCATATCATACTGCATTGGCTATATATTACACTCACCAGATTATATCATATTACACTGGCCATATCATATTACACTGACTGTATTATATTACGCTGGCCATATTATATTACATTGGCCATATTGTATTAAACTAGCCATATTATAATGCACTGGTCATATTACATTACACTGGCCATACCATATTACGCTGGCCATATTACATTACACTGGCCATACCATATTACGCTGGCCATATTACATTACACTGGCCATATCATATTATAATGGCCATATTACATTACACTGGCCATATCATATTACACTGACCGTATTATATTACGCTGGCCATATTATATTACATTGGCCATATTGTATTAAACTAGCCATATTATAATGCACTGGTCATATTACATTACACTGACCATATCATA